TATTTATTACTGGCCAAGTCGGTTAATTCGCTACAAAAATATAACATGAAAGTAAGTAAGTTGCCGAAAACATACTATTTAAGTAGCAGCATTCGAATTTTTTTACTTACTCTGAATAGACCAACAAAGTTGGATCCAAGTGCCGCACAAATGTCACCACAAATGGAATAACTGTGGTACAAACGACAGCTGCAATCAGCAAGCGAAGGCCATATTTTCGCATTTTGAATAGTAGATAGATGAAAATTGGCGCAATGAAGAAAAGTTGCGTATCGACAGACAGATACCACGATTGGAACATACACTACAAATTCAAAGAGAGGCAAACTTTAAATTTTTATGTAAGAATTTGGATAATGTTAAAAAAGGGATATAGTTAATAGTTGTAAGGATGTCAGATGCTAATTGTTTGATAAGGCTGACGCTGTTACTCAAACGATACCTGGGGTTCACTTTACCATAGAACCGGGGAATTTGTCTGTCTTGAAATTTAATAAAGTAAGCTGTAAATGAGGCTTTAACTAAATTATTTTCTTACTTAAGGTGCTTATTGCGCTGCTGCCAATAGGTCAGTTGATACCTTTTTCTGTGAAAAATTAATGAAAGCTTTCAAGCTATACTATTTTAATCAAAAACATAATATGTAATATTATAAAAAAAACATGGCATTAGTAAATTACCTGCGCTTGAGGGAATTTGACCAAAATTTTTAAAGCTGGCATAGATAGAATACAATTTGTTTAGTTGGGGCCGTTTTCTCAATTACCTGTAACTTTAAAGTTTACTTTATATATATAGGTTGCTTTTATGATTGCGTCTAAAGTAAAGCATTATATCATCGATTTTATATTGGTTTACAACAAAGAAACATACATACGACAAAAACCAATAATAGAAATGCTTAACTTTAGACATAACCTTATTTTTAATACAACCTTTAAATATAAAGTGAGCTTTAAAGTTAAAGGTTGCTTCCTAAAACGGCTCTTAGTCTAAAAAAAAATCCCTTTAATTGAAGGAAAGATCTAAAACCGGCCATTATCTTGAACAAAGAGCACAGAACCTCAAAATGTTACATTACAAAAAAAAAATTATCGCTAGGTCGAAATTTTTCTTCCCGCATAACAATGATGAATTGGTTTTTTGTTGGTCAAAACACGATCGCGTCATGAAAATCAGCATGGGCCAAAAAGGCGATCAATTGAAGAGTTTTACTGTAAACTTAAGAGCAGGGACACCCAACCAGTTTAGACATCTAAAAAAAAAAAAAATAAACAATCGATTAGGTAGACTTGAATCGTGAAAATTGTACTGAATGTTGCTCATACGACGCGTGTGTCTAAAAAGAGTGATTTTATTTACAAGGGTACGAAAGTAATTTAAAAACTGAATAATATTAAACTGCCTGAAGAGGTATTTCGTGAGTAAGATAAAATCCACTTTTTATCCAGAAATATTATTCATCATGTGGTGCTTGCACCAGAAGTTTTAGGGTTCAAGTAAAAGAAGCTTGTAGTAATTTGTCAGCACAAGAACAAATTTTCATTCTGTTGGAAATTTTTCTTGAACCACAATATTTTATAATATATTATATTCGCATAAGAATGCTTTTTCGATTCGAAAAAGTACTCGAAAACGAATCGTAGACGGCTATCTTAAACGACTTTTTAGCCGGTTTTTCTTCGAGAATATACTCCAGTTACAGTTACTTTCTGATTCATGACAAGATTAGTGATGATATAATTAAAAACAGCGTACTAGATCAATTTTTCTCAAAGGTGACCTAATTATATGAGCACAAGTGTATATGCGTAATAGAAGTATGTACTTACAAACTTATCCGTGTTGAAATAATTATTTACATAGAGTATATTAAGCCACCATGACGCCTGACAGCGCTCCTGCTCACGTCTGATGCGCTCTGCCCATAACGGACCGCTGCCGATGCTCGGAAACCAGGTCATGTAGAAGCCGATAATTGCCATATAGGCCGGTGTTAGGCGAATGTAGCGGCCAATGTACAAAATCAACGGATTTATTTGACCACGACGACGATGCAGTTCGACCAGCATAATGCGACAGAACAGGAAACCACTCAACAACAGAAACGTATCCACAAATAATAGGGAATTGTAGAGGAATGCAAATGTGGGGAATTTCGTTTGCTAAGATGTGTGGTGATTTGCAAACAGAGAAATTAGAAAAAAATATATAATATGTAAGTACAGTATTGGGCATATCTATAGCACCCCCATTTCAAAGTCCCTAAGGGGAAATAATTAATTATTAATGGCAAACAATATCTCTTAATACCGAAAAAAATTCTAGCACTTCTAAGAAAAAATTTTGAAATTTGGGTGAAAATTTGTCGAATTTTTTGTAGCCCTTTAAAAGATTTAAAATTTGTTGAATTTTTTTTTTAGAATTCTATAAAGTCTAAAACTTGGGTTTATATGGTTTTTGTTGGAGAATGAACTGTATTTTACTTGAAAATTCCTAAAAATAAAGAAATAACTTTGAAATGGGGGGTGCTATTGTATTGGTCAATACTGTATATATGTATATGTATGTGAATTAATACAAATGTCAAGCATTCAGTAAACAATTGTGAAATAGTCATTAAAGCTAACGGTTTCAAGCGATTAAACCAAAACTCGTTTTTTATGCGTATGTATGTATGTACATAAATTAACATTAGTCGTTATTATTACCTCTGCTACGAACGCCACATTATAAGTGGGACTGCCATAGATAAACGACAGCGCATGCCCGGCAAGTATCAGCAACATTGCCATTGCTTTGATGCCGTTTATCGAGTTTAGCCCCATCTGGTCTTTACTCGCCTGAAACAGTTTCTTCGTATTCTCTGCAATATGAAAACAAAAAAAAATATCATCCAATCTACAGATATGCAAATATCACACCCACCTATAACTGAGAACGACAACAATGCGATTGTCAATGTTTCTTGTTGCAATGCGCGTTTCGAGACATCATCGGCACTTCTCGACGCATAAATCAAGTAGCAATGATAGGCGGTGCTCAATGTAGCCAGCAAAATAAACAGAAATAGCACAACACTGCAAAATATTCGAATTTACAAAAAAAAAAAAAAATAGCAAGCAATTACTTAAGCCATTACCTAGCATATAAATATAAATATGTAAATATGTACATATGGCTGTGTGTAAAATGATTAACCCACTTACGCATAAGCAAACATTCCACCATCGACGTGCAACGCCCTGCCGGATCCAACGTTGCTCAGCTGACAGGCCGTTTCGTTGACGCTTAACACCGGGCGTTGCAAGTAGTTCTGCAAAAACAGAGCGACATCGGTGGGCTCACAAGACGCTGGCACGCATGCGCCCCAATGCGACACCACCACCACTGCTGCATCACCAATGCTTTTCAAGGCCTGCAATTAAAAGCAATAACAATGACATTAATTCGCTTTTTGTTCATTTTGGTTTTTGGCAAATTATGACTGATTGATGTCAATTTGTTTTCATATTCTCTGTTACGCATATTGCAAAAGTCTGAACAGCTTTAATATGTGTTAAGGCGATATTAGCTCTGGGCAATAGTCTGTTGATATTTTACAAGGGGTCAAGTTAGTCATAAAACTGGTGACATATTACACAATAAATAATTCCTTCACTTATACAAATCACACATTAGAGGCACACTATTGACAGCCGAATTGCTTACGAAAAATCAGAAATTTGCACTTTAATTGGTTTCATTTTTTGTTATGTTGTGAGTTATTTAGCGATAACTGCAGCCATTCGATTTTATGGAAAAAACATACATAAGTATATAAGTAAATACATAGATAACTATATAAAATCGCATATTTGCTTCACAGAAGAATTTAATCAATAAATCAGTATTCAGTATTTTAGTGCTAAAAAATTTTGGTTCAATTGTATTTTAATAAACACCATATAAATCTAAGTGTGAAACTGTATACGAAATTTAGGAGAAATCTGCAAAATCTCATCAAAATTGCAAAATTTTTAATAAGAAGGATGCAGTTTTATAGCCCATTCAATTTTAGTATAAAAATGTCTTAAAATTTGCGTTGATTTTTGATGATAAAAAAGAGAAAAACGAAATACTGGACTATAGTACTCTCCTCCGGGTGCATAACGGTAGGAGGTTTAGTTGGGTTAAAGTCTGAAACTGCCGATTATTCACATTTTTTACAAAACCGGTTTTCGAGTTATTCGAAAAATGGCAATTTGGAAAAACCGGATAAACCGGTTTTATGTTACATAGTTTTTATGCAATAAAAATACTTATTTTGGTATGAAGTCATGGCCAAAAACAGAAAAGAAATCAGTTAAAAACGCACGTTTGGTCTTATTTTTATAATTTATTCCATTTTTTCGGACTTTCTTCGATTTTAAGTAGTGCTCTTGCCACCCTAGCCGAGTGCTTAGAGGTGCCTACTGCTCCTCGGGAGATCCCAGGTTCAATTTCAATTTCCGAGTATACTTCTGCTATAAAAAAGCAGAGCACGAATTTTACGAAAAGCTCGGCCAAACACGTAGAAAGCCTTTAATCGCCAAGCATTCATTCCCAAATAAGCGGAGATATACATACTTTTAAAACCATTTAGGGGATTCCCTTAAACTGGACAATTTGGAAAAACTTAAAACTTTTATTGGATTTGGATGATATGAAAAAGCGGTTTGTTCGGTCAAAAAATCAGGTTTATTCGATATTCGAAAAATCAAGATTCCAAAAAAAAACGCCTACAGATTTCCAAAAAACCGGTGGAAACCGGTTTGGAAAAACCGAGTTGGTCACCCTAGTTTTTAGCCACGTTGTATTGGGGTCGAGAAATTTCGACAAATTTAACTACTTCCAACACTTTCCGTACTATTTCATAAACTTTGTACAACAGAGGAATTTTTATGGACGTCGACATATTCAAACATATTCTTTTTCCCACCATTTATTGCGATTTTATATTCCAAGCTTATACAACATCGCGATGGATATATATCCCTGATTTAGATGTTGGCATTCGTTATGCATAGATAAAGGAACAATAATGTAGACAACGTATTTGCATACATATTTATATATGTATGTATGTATGTATGTAAATAATAAGCCAGTTGAATGTCTCTTACCGAAATTATTCGCTACGTCACTATAGCGGTAATCATTTCAAAATGAAAGTACGCATAATAAGCAAATACATACATATGTACATATATATCTATGTGTAGATATGAGCCGTTTATTTTGAAAGTGGCATAAGTCACGTTTTCGAAAAAGTCGAATTAACGAATAACACTAATTACATTTTAACGGCAACTATTCAGTAAAAAAAATTAATAAGATTTCTACACACACACAAACATACGCTCACCGTGGCGTCAGGATTTTTATTAAAAGAACTTTGAAATTTCAAAGATATGATTAGTTCCGAAAGATATTCAAAAAATTTAGTGCAATAAGAATAACAACATAAGGACCAAATAAAAGAGAAATCCCTGCAGAATTGAAATATTTTAAATTTTTTGGTGCAAATGGAGAAATGGCTAATTAAAATTTTGTCCTTGAGCATCCTTGCAAATTTGCAATATTTATTTTTGAAATAATTATACACGACCACATCTTCGAATTTTGTCCTTCCACTTTAATACCTGCAACAAATAAAAAAATAATTATAAAGGCATTTTTAATACCAATTCGTCCTTGTGAACCAAAAAAGTTAAATATTTTCGAATTCAAAAGAATTTTCTCTTTCATTTTGTTCCAATATATTTATTGTAAATACATTGCACTGAATTTTTTAAATACATACATAAGTTTTGAAACTAGTCAAAACTTTGAAAAAAATAAAAATAATTACAAAGGCAATTTCAATACCAATTCGTCCTTGTGAACCAAAAAATTTAAATATTTTCGAATTCTAAAGAATGTTTGCTTTCATTTTGTTCCCATATTTTTATTCTACATTGCACTGAATTTTTTAAATACTTAAGTTTGGAACTAGTCAAAAATTTGAAATTTCAAAGTCTTTAAAAAACCCCCAACGCCAGAGGGAAAAAACCTAAAACGCATTTTTACTCTATTTGGCCCCTAATTGCGTGTGTATAAGTAAAAGTAACTTATTTATCAATTTTAGTAAATCACTGTCCTTTAAAAACATCACTTCAGTAATACACATCGGACAAAATTGATATGTCAGTAATTTTTTTTTTAACTATTTATAATGAAAAGTGGTGATTTTTCCAAGACTATACTAAATTGTTTATACTGAGAAAAATATCCTAAGATAAGAAATTCAAGTAAATCTTCTCATAAGTTAGCATCAATATTTTCAAACGCGTTTTAAAACCAAAAAGACTTATGCCACTTTCAAAATAAACAGCTCATGTAAGGGTATGTAATACTTTAGTGATGAAGATAATTATTTTAATAATTTTTTGACGCTAAAATTATTTAACTGTATATGTGTGCAATTAAAAGAGTCATCCTAAATACGCAAAATGAAAACAAATAGCTCAAGGCAAATGATTAGAATCGGGCATACTCGTATAACTTAACTATATATCAGCATGCAAAATGTATAATTCTAGATTTTTCTAAGCAAATAAAAGCTTTTGCGCTTAGGCAAGTATTTGTGCAATCGTACACGGAGTTACACTTATTAATTAGACACGTTTAACCAGTTATTCCTAGAGAGGATTAATAGTCTTGATAAAATATTTTACTTTGCGTTGTACATATATGTACATAAGTGACAAAAATTAAGATTTTACGAGTCGAATTGGTTTTAATTTTTTCAATAGATATGTATGTAAATATACACACTTTTCTTTATTTACGATGTGTCCATTCATATGCATGCTCAAGTAAACAACGTAATTAAAAAATATAAATTTCTGCTATCAACTTGTTTTAATATTTTTCAAAACAATCAAGATTGTTAAGTCTAGACTGACCACTACATATATACGAACTACAAATATGTATAATTTGTTTGGTCTACACTTCATTCCGTATTTCATGTGACAAGTCTTCATAGGTTAAGCCAAATTCATTGCCTAACTCGCATTCACCTTAGTTCACTCCCCATACTTTCTTTCTTAAATAAATTTCCCCGTGTCGGAATCTATACAGCCTTATTCTGTATCACGAACGATAGGCAACACGAAGAGGAATGCTTCAAAAATTAGTCCGGTGGCATCATTTTAGCCAGTTTAAACACAACCGAGACTATTGCAACGTAATGTATGAAAAGCAAGACGAAGACGACCGATAGAGTTTAAAATCGCAATCAGAGAGGTTGTCGTCTGCACAAGAATCGTTCGTTTTGCCTATCGTTCGTGATACAGAATAAGGCCCATATTCTCATTTCTGACCTCTTCAAGCGATGTCTTCATGTCGTAAGAATTATATGACGAATTGGAAAAGGGACGTGATAAACTCCTAGCGCTAAAATTTTAAAACATCGGAAGAAAATTAACCAAATGAATTGGATATAAATTACTTTGAAAAAAAATTTTGCATTTCAGCCCAGATTTTGAAGTGGGTTTAGCCGAATGCATTTGAAAGTTGTTGAAATTATGTGCAGTGTCGAATAATTGACTCGTATTAGGACATCGTCTTGATAATAAAGTAATTTCCTCTTCTTCTTCTTTATTGGCGCTGTAACCGCCTAAGCGATTTTGGCCGAGTCCAAAACAGCACGCCAGTCATTTCTCTTCTGTGTTAACTGACGTCAATTGGAAATGCCAAGTGAAGGCAAGTCCTTCTCCACCTGGTCTTTCCAACGCAGAGGAGGCCTTCCTCTTCCTCTGTTACCAGCATCGCGGCCCGCGTTGAATATTTTCAGAGCAGGAGCGTTTCTGTCCATTCGAACGACATGGCCAAGCCAGCGGAGCCGCTGAATTTTAATTCGCTGCACTATGTCTATATCGTTGTAAAGCTCATACAGCTCATCGTTAAATCGTCTGCGATATTTGCCATCACCAACGCGTAAAGGTCCGTAAATCTTTCGCAGAATCTTTCTCTCGAAAACTCCAAGAGCCGCCTCATCAGATGCTTTCATTGTCCATGCCTCCGCGCCATACACCAGCACAGGCATGATGAGTGACTTATAGAGTGTGATCTTTGTACGACGAGAGAGGACTTTACTTCTCAATTGCCTACTCAGCCCAAAGTAGCACTTGTTGACAAGACTGATTCTCCGTTGGATTTCAAGGCTGACATTATTATTGGTGTTAATGCTGGTTCCCAAATAAACGAAGTCGTCTACTTTTTCAAACTTGTAACTGTCAACAGTGACGTGGGTGCCAAGACGCGTATGCTCTGACTGTTTGTGTGCTGACAGGAGATACTTCGTTTTGTCCTCGTTCACCACCAGACCCATTCGCTTTGCTTCTCTATGCAATCCCGAGAAGGCAGAACAGACGTAGCTCTTGTTTTTACCGATAATATCGATGTCGTCGGCATACGCCAGCAATTGTACGCTCTTGTAAAGTATTGCGGTAAAGTTGTGCGGCTCTTATTATCTTCTCCAACATCAGATTAAAGAAATCACCCGAAAGGGAGTCCCCTTGTCTGAAACCTCGTTTGGTATCAAACGGCTCGGAGAGGTCCTTCCCTATTCTGACGGAGCTGGTGGTATTGCTCAACGTCATTTTACACAACCGTATTAGTTTCGCGGTGACACCAAATTCAGACATCGCTGCATAAAGGCAACTTCTCTTCGTGCTGTCGAAAGCGGCTTTGAAATCGACAAATAGATGGTGTGTGTCGATCCTATTCTCGGGGGTCTTTTCCAAGATTTGGCGTATTGTGAATACCTGATCTATGGTGGATTTCCCAGGCCTAAAGCCACACTGATAAGGTCCAATCCCCTCGTTTACGGTGGACTTCAGTCTTTCGCACAATACACTCGATAAGACCTTATAACCTATGCTTAGAAGGCTGATTCCGCGGTAGTTGGCGCGTATGGCGGGGTCGCCTTTCTTGTGGATTGGACAGAGCACACAATGCCGCAATAAGAAGAGAGAGGCCGAAATACGTGAGTGCGAAGAGCTTGAGATGCTGGCCGACAGGAAGAACGCCCGAAAATTCTACCAGAGGGTTAGGCGACTTACGGAAGATTTCAAGACCGGGGCGAACTCCTGTAAGAACAACAATGGCGACCTAGTGACCGATGTCCAGAATATACTTAAATTGTGGAGGGAACACTTTTACAACCTACTGAATGGCAGCAGCGCTGAAAGTAGTGAAGAAGACGAACCCGAGTCCCCAGTCGATGATGATGGAGTAGCTGTCCCACAGCCTCACTATGACGAGATACGAATAGCGATTACGCGGCTGAAAAACAACAAAGCTGCTGGATCTGACGGCCTGCCAGCCGAGCTATTCAAGTACGGCGGCGAGGAGCTGATGAGGTGCATGCATCACCTCATATGGTCAGATGAACGCATGCCCGACGACTGGAATTTAAGTGTACTCTGCCCAATCCACAAGAATAAAGTAATTTGCTTACAAGAAAAAAGAAGGATTTCCACTACTTTTAATTATTAAAAAAAATTACTTGTTAAATTTCTTTTAAAGCATATAGTTGATTTTCCGATAATAATACATATTAATGTTTTTATATATTTGAAGATGCAATGCAAGCTCTATAACTACGGTGACCATCTGTTTATTTATTTTTAAATCTGGACGATAGAGCGATTTACAGATGCATTCGGCTACAAGTAGCCGGTCATTTAAGCACATGAGGTACTTTCAAAATAAACGTCTCGTATGTAGATGGTTTCTGAAGTTATAACATTGCCTAGAAAAACTGGGTATTTGTGTGTATAAATCGAAATAAGACGTTAATGATAATTGTTCGAATTACTAAAAGTAATTTCACTAGTATTTAGCTTTTCCAAGGTTTTTTTCAAAGCATGTTGAACAGGTATTTAGCAGCAATAGAGCGGCTAATTTTACTTTTTCGAGAATTTCGTCTTTAAATTGTCATTTTTGTTTACATTTTACTCCAAAAAGAAATTTGCAGCACTCAATAAAACTTTTGGGTACAAGAACGGCAAAAACTGTGATAGTTTTCTAAAATGAGTCATCGCTATTTTGTTATCGAGCCTCCGACTTATCGATATTCTACTGTACATACACTTTAATATAAATACCCACTTCATTTCATTTATTAAAATAGTCTCCTACGCTCAAGAACTTTACAGCATTTACCTTCGACTTATCATAAATTTACGTCAAATAGGACCTGGGCAGCATATCGAAACCATATTGAACGATCAAATTAGCACATTAGTATTCCGCTGGCATAGCGCTTCACCAAGTGCTTTAAAACTTTGCGATCAAAAAAGTGAGTATTTAAGTAGTATGAAGAACACATTGGAACGTAATTACGATTCGATGCAATTAAAGAAGACCCCGTTAAGCTAACAACGGTTTCTCCGCGCAAATTATGGTAATAAAATAAAGTTCGGCTGGCTGGCCATAACCGATCACCAAATTTTAGCATTACATAACCATGACACTATGCATACATAAATAAATAAAGCGTTTACAATTCAACTTCAGGTTCTTTTTGAAGTTCATAGCGATTAGCTAATAAGAGAGCAAAATAAGTACTAAGTATAAAATATCTATGTATATTTATTATTATGCATATATTGTCTGTACATTATAGATATTAAAGAAAAATTAATAAATAGGGGGGTCTTCATGAGAGCAACAGAAGCCAAATCAACAATTTTTAGAATTATTGTCTGTCTATTTGTCCGTCTGTATGTTTGTACGCGTATCAATCGAAAACTAATGCATGAAATTGAATGCAGTTTTCACCGATGTATTGCTAGAGGTCGAACTTAAAATATAGAGAGAAAAAAATAGAGAGTTGCCACTTGTGTGAAAATTTCAGTTTATGTAAATTGATAAAATATTATATAAATATTCATATTTTAATATAAATATTGCAATATGGCCGCAAAAATAGAGAGGTTTAAATAGGCTTACAGCCGTAAATATTTTTGTTGTAGGTTGCCACCAGTTTTAAAATTTTAATTAATTTTAATTGGTAAGATAAATTGAATATTGCAATATGGGTATCAAAATTAAGAGGTTAAGGAAAGTTTAAAGCACAAAAATACTTTTAAGGCGCAGTGAAGCCGGGCATTTGCTAGTTGATAATAAAATGAATGTACATTCAAAATGCGTAAATATTTGTCAAAATTATATACGGTTAGCATATACACGCGTTAAATGCTCATTTACTAAAGTATTTTAAATACATTCTTACCTCTTTTTGACGACTGCCCACCGTTTGCAATGTGAATCCATCCATTTTTATATCTACTAAGCAATATTTTGAACGCACTACAAGCTCACTAGATCCATTTCCGTTTGCATTCGAATAAAAATGTCGCTGATCTAAGCATTGATCGAAATGTCCAAACTGATGCAAAACACCACTTTCGATACCAGATGGGGATTTGGCCATTGCATCGTACACTGAAAGAAAAACATAAGTAACTAAAGTAGTTAACTCGCACATGTACATATTGAAGACGAAGTTATAGTCTACGGGCTGTTGCTAAACATTCTACATTTATACACTTTTAAATGTAACATACCTTTTTCAGCAGCGAATTAAGTAAAAAATTTGATTTTTATTAATAAAAATGACACAAAATATTGCTTCTTTTTCTAAAAGTTAAATACATATGGCTAACTTGGGGTGGGGATCTGCTAAGTGTAATTTTTTAAATTTTTACTGCATTTCTCCAATTATTTTACAAAATGTTGAATACAATACTTTTGCGTATTTAAAGCAAAAAAAAAAATTTCATACGAATCGATAAAATTCGACGTTAATAAACGGTTTTCGTGTTCTTTTGAACTTTTTCCTTTTTTTGGTCTTTTCAGAACTTCTGCAGAAATCGTTATACATACATGGCCTGACATCGACATATTTATTTGGCCAATGGCGATTGCACCACTAGAGTTGCTGTAAGTATCTTTACGTTCTGCTTATAGAAAGATGGCCAGATCTATCGCGATACTCTGCATGCGACCAAATTGGTTCACCTGAATTTCTCCTCAACTTGTGAGAACAGGAAACTGATATGTTTGAACTTGGTTCCAAAATTTTTGTAGCAGACTTCTTTCCCTAGCACTCCCCCGCTTAAATGCTTCCCAAAACGCAGTAAAGACTGACGTTGTGTTGCCCAAGAGATTTTATAAATTTTCGACTCAATTTGAGTGAGTAAGAGGTCTATGATATCTACCAAATTTTCATATATCACAAGCTGTAAAAAATTGCTGTAGTCTAATCTGGTAGTCAGTATTTTTATCCGATCTTTAATCCCGTTCATTTATTCATTTTGAATCGATCAGTGAAGATTGGAATATCATATATTTATCGAAGGATCTCCGTTCACTGAAATTTAAAGCCTCTATATACATATAACCCCAACTTTTTCTAAAATACAACCAGCCTGTTCGACGCCTTAAGCCTTAGAGCTCTCTTACTTGCAGACAGTACCGACTAGACCCTCCAAGACCTGAGTTTTCAAAGAGCCCGGATTTTCTCGAAGATTAAGTGGTAAGATAACAAGTAGTTTTTAAACAAAAAACAAAACCGACTTCAATTTTCATATAAAAATTTAAGAGTACCGTTAATTCATCATGATCGAAAAAAAAAAATTCTGACGAATTGATAAGTTAAGTTGTAATTGTGGCTGAGTGGTTAGGGGGACTACCACTCCCCAGGACATGGGTTAGACCCTGGTCCATGTGACATCTAAATCAGAAAAAGTTTTCTCTAACACCGGTTGCTCCTCGGTAGGCAATAGCAAACCTCCGAGTGTATTTCTGCCATGAAAAAGCTTCTGATTTCTGATTTTTGCCGTTCGGTGGCGGCGTACAGTTTGTAGGTCCCTGCGAAATTTGTTTATCAATTCAACGGAAAATGCAAAAAATAGTTGTCTATTTCAAATGCTTTTATCGAAAAAACGTGGAAAATATTCCTTGATTTTTTTTATCTTTCACTTTTTTTTGGGGAAACTTAAAACGTAAATATACTTAAGCACAAAATATTAACTAAAACTTGACTAATTCAGTGTAATATACAAATTGGGAAAAATTACTTACTTCGATACATTGTAAGTACATGCAAGCCTTTATTTAGTCCTCAAATTTTAGCTGAATATTTATATTTTTATAGCAATATCTGTTAAACTAGCTCAAAATACAAATACCAAATCACTGCATACTTCATGATAGAACAAATATTACGTTGTTAAAACTGCTTGCTATTCTCTATTATTTATGAATGTGCAATATGTACCTATGTACATTAGGGTGGTCCTTAAAAAATCAAATGAAGAATTTTTTAAGTCTCACCCCC